GTAGATTTAAAGTGTCAAGTACTTTTGCAAGAATGGTGGAATTAGGATGTCCTAATCGGTTTGCCACAACATGACATTAGTTGACTGAACATAAATGATTGAAGAGAGTTTGTGTTATTGATTATAGGTGCATCATCAGTACATATTACAGTGTTGGATACAAATGGTCTAGTGTATTGCATGCAGTTTTGATTAACAAAATCAACATAGGCAGATTTACAACTATTGAAAGCATGTTCTGTCATCAGTGGTGTAGGCAACATTTTTTGCAGGAAAAGAGGTGCTACAAGACTTATTACATGACTTATTTGTTGAAAAGACTGGACTACTTTTATGCTGAAGTTGAACAGAATGTTCCAACTCTTCTGTAAAGGTAGGTAATGAGTGACCTAGAGCTTGAAGTTGGTATAATCCATCTTTAAGCATTCCTTTGAGATTGATTACTTTGGAGAACTTGTCCTTAACCACACAGGAATCAATAAAAAACTCAACAGTGACAGGATTATCTTTAGTCGGTTTAGAAACACTAAGAAGGTTTTTTGTAATGTGAAGGACATACAAGGCATTCCTAAGATGCAGAGTTCTAAATGGACATTTTAAATCAGCAGAACCAATATGAGAAATAGAAAGAAGCTCACCATTGCCAACCTGAAGTTGTTCACTGCCTGCATAGCTGGTGCTTCCTGTGAGTTGGGAGAAATCAGAAGTGACATGTTCTATAGCTCCAGAGTCCATGTACCATGCAGCATCATATACTGTGGAAGGTGTGGCAATGTAGTTTATGGCCACAGGATGAGAGTTATGGAGCTGTGTTTGAGCCATCAAAGCCTGATTGTGCAGATGAGCAGCAGTATGGGTAGCAACTGAGTTTGGTTGACCATCAACATGTCCAACTATGGATCCAGGTGTTTGAGACATTCCTGAAGCTCCTGAGTGATGATTATTCACATAGTGATGAACACCATGATTGCCCACTGGATAGTAGGAACTTCCAGTTCTAGAATTTCCAATTCCGGAACTCCTAATTTTAGAGTTGAATAAAGGTTGTCTGGTGAAACTAGGAGAGTGAAAGTTGCTTCTAATTAAGGTGTTATGTCTTGTAAAGTTCACATCAAACCGGTGCTAACAATTCAAGGCTAAATGACCTGTTTTTCCACAAACTTGGCAGATGAATTTGCCTCTGCCACCCCCTCTGCTCTTCCTCTGTTATCAAAATTACCTCCATGAAACTGCTGATTATAGAATTGATTTTGAGGCAAGGGATAATTGGCCTGGTTTTGGTTGGGTCCAAAGAAGGTAGAAGTAAAATTGGGAGCATTGAAGGGATTATGACTTTGAGTGGGGTTTTGTTGCATAAGTAATGACACAGACTGTGTTTTCTTGTTCTCATTATCAACTGAGAGAGCAGCAACATTAGCAATACCTCCATGGAACTCACCATGAACTATAGAGTTCATTACTGTGTTTGCCCTTTCAAGCCTAAGTTCAAGTTTCTATAAAATTATATGTGCTTCTTGGACAGATATAGGATCAAGCTTAGACTCTAACGTAGTTGTGATATTCACAACAGCTGATATTCAGACTCTAAGGGCATCTCCAACCTAGCGCTAAGCACCACGCCATTTTGGTGGCATTGTAATAACTCTTTTATACTAGGATACTCATAGAAATACATATAATAAAATACATGTACATTAGCAAAAGTAGTTGGGCCCAAATTTTTCTTTTATTAATTATACACATTCTTTATACAAAAATGAGGTATCATATACAAAAAGCCATTAAAAATAGTGGACAGTGTAGCAATTGCTCCTCGCTTGCCGACGTCCATCCGACCACGTCCTCACCTAGATCCTGCAAAAATATAGAAAACAACAGGGTGAGCACAAATAATGCTCAGTAAGTAAATCCTCTACTCGTCTATCCCCGTAACTCTTTCTCTTAATTCTTTCTCACTTGAATGTCACGGCCCCATCTTACCGGAGGCACGGCCGGGAATTTATCCCATTCTCATGACTTTTAGTCATTCTCTGCCGGTCGGACTCAGTTATGCATGGATTCAAAACCCTTGGCCACGTGAGTACATATTCTCTCATGTCACGGCCCCATCTTACCGGAGGCACGGCTGGAACCTGGTGTTCCACTCTTCGTGACTTCTACTCATCACTCACGGGTTCCCCATCGCACAACCTACTCTATTCTCTTCATTAGCACTACTTTCTTTTTGTTCTCTAGTGCTCATTCTCTCTTTCTCTCTACTCTCGAAGTAGCTTATACTCACAAATTCTCTACTCTTTCTCAAGCTACTTCTCATATGCACAATTAATGCATATGGATGGCTCATGCTCATTAATGCACTCATGAAATGTCAATATGCAATGTTGCAAGAATTAAGGTTTACTACTCATGCTCATACTTCTCTTAGGCATTTCATCAAACAACTCATGTGCATAGAAAAAACTCTACTTTAACTATAACTTTTCTTCTCTCTTTAACCATCCAAAATCGGAAGAAACTCCCTTATACACCCTAAATTCCTGTCAAGGAAAACACTCCCAAAAAGGTTTACACAAAACCTCTCCAACTTCAACTCAACTTCAATCTCTCTTCACACATCAAACACTACTCATAATGTAAACATATCCAACAACCATGAGCTCAACCACATCTCATCTCAATTTCTCAATAACATAACATACACATGTATTCATAAATCTCTATTCAACTTCTTCTCAAATTCAGCCAAACTTCAATTTGGCCACCCCAACTTTGACTCTACTTCTCATGGCTCAACAACCATTTATCAACCCATCAACTCATCAACAATTACAATCTCAGCAATCAATCTCACAATTATCAGTTCATAAATACATATCAAATCATTTGATTGCTTAAATCTTAACTTGGATTGGATTTACTTACCTTGTGAATAAGTGGCTCCACTAGCACTTCTCTTTTCCTTTGGTAGCTTGTCTTTTCTCTACAACTTTAAACAACAGTACTATAAGACTTCAACATATCTATAAGTAAAATTCACATCTAAAGAAAAATTCACATCTAAAGCAAGAATCCTTACCTTAGGATGCTTTAGATTAACTCTCTACCAAAACTACTCAAAAAGCCCTCTAAAATCCTTGAAAAATTGAATGAAGAGTTGAGAGAAAATGGTGAAAGGGAATGGCGGTGGAAGAAGAAGAATAAAGGGTTTACTAACCTCAAACCCTTATTAGCTCATAGTTTACACAAGCATCCCCATTTTGCCCTTGCTCTTTCTTGAAAATTCCATCTTTGTCCTTTAATTCATTGCACTCACACCCCCAACTCTAATGCATTCTCCATGAAATTTCATTGCATTTCACTCCTCACTTTTCCTGCTAATTAGGGGTAGAATGGTCATTTTGCCCCTATGGACAATCCTCTAGAAACTTCACCCAACTTTTCAGCCAACTCGTCGCTGCGGCGAAGCTTTTTCCGTCGCCCCCGAGAAGAATTCCAGAGCCTACGTCGCCACGGTGAAGAATATACCTCGCCCCGACGAAGACTGTAACTCCAAAATTCGCCAAGTCTTCACCAATTTCAAGGCAAACACTCAACCAAACAAACACATCACTTCAACCAAGGGCCAACCAAACAATGTTAACAATATATCAACTCAATTAAGAGCAAAACAATAAAAATTTAGGCAATACACCATAAATTAGCCACGTACCTCAAGTGGGGCGTTACAGGCGTGGCACTGTAGCGCCACTAATTTTTTTTTCTTTTTTTTTTTTTTTTTTTAATTTTGTTAAGTTAATTTGAGTATTAAATTTTACACCAAAAATCACACCAAATTTGATTATTTGTATTTAATTTAATTTGATTATTATTTATAATAATAAATTCATAATAATTATATAATTCAAAAAATGATGAAAAATTAAAAATAAAACTTTATTCAATGCAAATATTAAACTACAATAACTCAAAATAAAAATTAACACTAATTTAAAAACATTAAATCTAAAAAGCTTGAATGGACAACACATCTTTTTGAGCTTGAATGAATAATATATCTTTTGAAATAAGTTATAAATCTAAAAAGCTTGAATAGACAATACATCTTTTTGAATTAGCCACAAATCTAAAAAGCTTGAATGGACAATACATCTTTTTGAATTAGCCACAAATATCAAAAGCTTGAATGGATAATACATCTTTTTGAATAAGCCACAAATCTCAAAAGCTTGAATAGACAATACATCTTTTTGAATTAGCCACAAATCTAAAAAGCTTGAATGGACAATACATCTTTTTGAATTAGCCACAAATTTCAAAAGCTTGAATGGACGATACATCTTTTTGAATGAGCCACATATCTCAAAAGCTTGAATAGACAATACATTTTTTTGAATAAGCCATAAATCTCAAAAGTTTGAATGGATAATACATCTTTTTGAATAACCCACAAATCTCAAAAGCTTGAATGGACAATACATCTTTTTGAATAAGCCACAAATCTCAAAAGCTTGAATGGACAATACATCCTTTTGAATAAGCCACAAATCTCAAAAGCTTGAATGGACAATACATCTTTTTGAATTATTATTTTTTATCTAGAATAGTGTTTTCTTCAACTATAAAAGCTCACACCAAATCAACTTCCAAATCATTCAACTAATATATCTACAAAGATGAATTTCAATTTTGGAGGTCCATCTCATTTATCATCTTCTAATTCATCATCATTTTCTGACAATGAAATTGATGATGAGGAATTGATGAATGATCTTGAAGCAATTGATGCAGAGCAAGAAGCAATCCTTCGCATGAGAGCTAACAACAACCTCCTCCTCCTTCACTATCTCAATCAACAGAACAACTAGGTGATCCATAGAGGATCAATTCCTCATCATAAAGTCATCAATCGCAACCGGAAAACTGTTGATCGCAATTTGTTCAAAGATTATTTTGCCGAGAATCCACGGTTTAATGATTCTATGTTTCGCCGACGATTTCAAATGTCTCGCAATTTATTCATTCGTATTGTTGATCACATGAAAGGCCATGATAACTACTTTGTACAACGAAGGGATGGGCTCGACAGGCTCGGATTGTCTGCTTTTCAAAAAATAACAGCGGTATTCCGGATGTTGGCATATGGTCTACCGGCAAATGCTACTGATGAGTATATTAAAATAGGCGAGTCTACAACCATTGAAAGTTTGAAGAGATTTTGTCATGCTATTGTTGAGGTATTTTCCGAACGATATCTAAGATCACCTAATGCTAATGATGTTGCAAGGCTACTTCATATTGGTGAACAACGTGGTTTTCTAAGAATGTTGGGTAGTTTAGATTGTATGCACTGGAAGTGGAAAAATTGTCCAACAGCTTGGGCAGGACAATATGTTGGTCGTAGTGGATCCCCAACTATTATTCTCAAGGCTGTAGCTGATTATGATCTTTGGATATGGCATGCATTTTTTGGTTTGCCAGGTTCCAACAATGACATTAATGTGTTGGAGGCATCTCATTTGTTTGCCAACCTAACTCAAGGTATTGCTCCTCCCGCTCATTATAGCATTCAAGGAAAAGATTATAATATGGGTTATTATTTAGCTGATGGTAATACCCAAAGTGGTCTACTCTCGTACAACTATTCACAATCCACGTGGTCACAAAAAAAGTACTTGAATGAACAAGAAGGATGTAGAAAATGTGGAACGTGCGTTTGGAGTTCTCCAATCGCGATTTGCAATTGTGGCAGGACTGACACATTTTTGTGATAAAAGTATTACAGGATATATGACTGCGTGTATATTATGCACACCATGATAATCGAGGATGATCGTAATGTTGATGCATCGATTGAGAATCAAATGGAAGCGCCAACTCCCGAAGTTGAAATTGTCATAGATGAAAATGTCCGATTTCGAAATTTTCTTACTCGACATAAACAAATCAGGGATACAGAGCTCACTATGCTCTTCGAAATGCATTATTGATCATTTTGGGAAACATACTAATTCGGAAAATTAAATTACTATCAATATGGAATTTTACCTTTGTGTTGCGTTGTTGTTATTTTTTTTTTTTTTTTTTTTTTTTTTTGTATCATTTGTATTGATTGTAATGTTTTTCTATATTAAATGTAATGTTTATTTGATTAAATAAATGCTTAATTTTATTAAATTAGTATAATTTCCAAAATAATTATTATTTAATAAAAATATCATTCCCAATATTTAATTAATATATACAAAAATAATGAGTGAAATAGATTAATGGTTGATTATTATAATAAAAGAAAAAGAAAAAGAATATTCTAAGGAATATTCTTTTTAGTGTAATATTTGGTGTAGTGGGTTAGAGATGGAATAGTGTTTTACACCAAAATTTGCACCAATTTGGTGCAATGGGTTGGAGATGGTCTAATCCATCCAGAATTTAATTAAGCAGCTCTTCATCTATTATCACTACTCCACTAGAAGACAAATTTTCTACAAAATTTTCATTTTAAGAAAGTAGTCATGCATGCTCATGTTCTCCTTTCTGGTATTTTGTAAAAGACTCTTAACATGTAACGTCTTAGCCCTAGACTCAATGAGGAACTCTTTCTCTAACGTGAGCCATATATCAGTGGCAAATTGACACTTGGAAATGATAGCAAACATTGACTCTGATATGGATGAGAGTAGCCAACTAACTAGCATTTTATCAGTCTTCTTCCAAAGTGTGTATTCAGGGTAAGATTTATTGGTTACCTCTAAGCTTGAAGTATCCGATTGAGCTCTGATGAATGGAGCTGGGCATGGAATTAATCCAGTCAAGTGTTCTTCAAGACCGTGTGCTCCTACTGCGAACAGTATCTACGACTTCCAAAATCGATGATTGTCCCGATTCAATTTTGGTGAAATTGTTGGAAGTGTGGGTGAATTCATTGAAGATGGGTTGATGAGGTTAACAGTGTCTGGGATCTTGTTCGAATTGTTGAATGAGGAAGGATTTGAAGAGGAATCAGCCATTAGTGATGTTTGTCAATAGCTCTGATATCAAATGAGTAAAGACAGTAAACAAGAAAAGCAGAGAATGAAAACGAGAGAAAGGGAAAGAAAATTAGGGGAAAATGCAGATATCTTTATTGTATATCTTTTTTCGTTAATAACAAAGGTACTGTTCAGTACTTTATATATAACTTGTTTTACAACTGAAAGCCCAACTAAAATCAACTGTATTGAGTTGGACTGTAACAGAATACAGTTAGCCCAGCTAACTGAACAATAACTGAATGCGGTCCAGCTTAGCCCACTAATGTTCCACTAATATTGGTCAACTTTAGTCAACCCTTACTGTGTTTCTTATATTCACAACATAAAGCAATACAAAATAAAAGAAACACCTTATGGAGAAAAAAAATTTACCTGAGAAAAAATTTATAAACTGATAATTGTTGTGTAAATTAATCTATTAAATACTGTATCTGTTAAAATGGCAGAAAAAAATCGATGAAAATCGATGAAAATATTATTTAAAATATCAAATACAAGATGATGTATGTCAATTTTTCGTATGAGGTGCCATATGTACAAACTCTTATATACAAACTGATATGAAATAACTCTTTTATTGTCATATAATTCATTTATATTTTGGAATTTATTGAGTTAATTTTGTATAAAAATTCATTTATTCACTTTATACCACATCAGTTTGTACGAAAAAATTTGTATGTAGAGTTTGTATATTTAGTATTATTCATTACATATATATGTTTGTAGAATAACATTGTAATCTTAATGTTTAAATGTTAAACTAACAATAGTTCCAAAAAAATTGAATTAAATATATATCGATCTAAACTATAATATTGCTATATATGTCAAAGTAATTAATTATCACCATCAGCAAAATGATTTATCAATTTCCTAGCTGATATGATTATTTTCAAATTTAGAAAATATTTTTGTATAAGATCAAGTCCTCTCTTTGCAATACCCAAATTAAATTAATCCTTTTGACCAATTCACATTTACCAAGAAATTAATTTCGCTTAAACTAGTAGTCTTAATATTAATCAAATAAATCTAAGATATGTGTTGATATGTGAAGATATTTGAGGATATTGGCTTTCATTACAAGATCTGATTTGGTTCTATTACAGGATAAATATCGGATTTTATTCTTCTCCTTATTACTGGAATCAAGCCATTACACTGGAGATCATGGCATTATTTTCTTTCCTTACATATAGTGTTCTTATACATTTTCACTACAAAGCTCTTTGTTCTTCTTTAACCTCTCGCATACTCAGCATCCAAGTTGCTTCTCTGGCCTCTCCATCACCAAGTTATAACATGGTGTCAAAGCATTTGTCCTGACCAAGTTTCGACTAGTCTCAATGCTCTGCCAACCCACTCTGGCCTAAGTTTAGGATAGTGAGTAACTAGTTATTTGGTTATATGCATATCTAAGAAAATTTTGTCAACACGATAAAAGTCTAAGGAGACTGGGTTTTAAGTGGGATCGTTTGTGACCCCTCCAGTTTCTCCTGGGAATTTTCCTAGTGCATATTAAATCATTTTTAGCACTTACTGGCTATTGAGCTGTTCAACCCACTCTAGCCTTCAATTTGCTTCACTTGTAAAACAAGCACTTGGATTAGTGCAAATCTCACTTACCAAAATCAACCATCCAAACAAATTCTCAAATGGATCCTACAACCAATAAGTCAAACCCAACAACCAACCAAACCAAATAGCCAAGCCCACAATTACAAACCACAAATGAGCCCACTCAAACAGGCCCACAATCCACTCCTTACCAAACAGGCCCATTTCCCACCAATCAGGCCCACAACCCACTACTCAACCTTCAACCAACCAAGACCCAAAATTGGGCCAAGCCCAAACAACCAATTCAAGTTTGCAGGCCCATACTCTCAACTGGGTCAACAACCCTACCCGTTTCCCTTCCAGATCTTTCCAGTTACTCAACAACGGCCAAAACCAGGCGATGCTTTGTATTTGCCGCCATCAGATGGACTAGAACTTGTCTTGGTTAAACAATCCCTCACCGGATCAGAAAACTATGCAACTTGGGCTCGTAATTTTCAAAAGGCACTCATTACAAAAGATAAAGATGGTTTTATCGACGGAACTATGCCATCGCCGACGAGCCACATCTGAAAAAACATTGGACTAAATGCAATATGTTAGTTCAGTCGTGGATCAGCAACTCCTTGGCCCAGGATGTTGCCACCGGATTACCACCAACAGAGATTACTGAAAAGATGTGGGTCAACATCAAAGAGATGTATAGCCAACTCGATTTAGCCAAGCTTTACACATTACAACAAAATCTTGCCAATATTAAATAACACAACCAATCAGTAGCAGTTTATTTCAACCGATTATCAGCAATCTGGAATGAGTTAGACGCCATGGAAAAACCCTTAAATGGGTCATCTGAAACATTGCAACAATTCAGAGAATCAAAGAACGGGATTGGTTAATCCATTTTTGCTAGGATTAAATGAAAGTTTCCTTTCATTTAGAACTCAAGTGCCTAGAAAAACCTCACCGCCAATGCTTCTCTGTCTTTATCAACTGGCCGCTCAAGATGAGAATCAACGTCTAGCCACCGTGGAATCACCGAGCCCAAGAGAAGAAAAATGTGATTTTTTATATAACTCATTCAACGGCCCAGATCAAGTTAACCAATCCAACAGTCAGCAACAGGTCAATCAATTGAACTCATCCAAAGGCTTACAAACCAGGCCGTTTCAAAGTGGATCCGATCATCCAGATCAGCAAAGGGAAAAATGTACTATGATTATTGTAAACGAAGAAATCATAACCGTGAAAATTGTTGAGAAATCATAACCGTGAAAATTGTTGGAAACTATATGGCCGCCCTAAGCAAAAATTTGGAAATTTCACAGCAAATCATGTGACCACTAATTCAAATTCAACAAATGTGACACAAATGCCCATGATCAAATCAGTCAATTACTCCAGATGTTGAATCAATCTCGAACAAGTCAGTCAATTACTTCAGATGTTGAATCAATCTCAAACCAAAAATGTTTTCGCTACTTATGCAGGAACATCTTTTGTTTTTCATAACCAAAGGTTTTTTTTCCAAACATACAACACCAAAGTTTCCTATTTATGTTCGTATACCAAATGTCAATAATACACCAGCTTGTTGGTACTGTTCAGTTAACAAAAAAATTGGTATTTGAAAATGTCTTAGTTATCCTTACCTTCAATTTTAATCTTATCTCCTTGTCAAAATTTTGCATCAATAATAATTCCACATTGCAATTTCTTTCTAATATGTGTATCTTTCAAAACCCTTCGACTGAAAGATTGATAGGCTTGAGTAAAACTCATCACAATCTATACTATTGGGAGCCCTTTTCTACTGCTTATTCTTTATTTCTTGTATTGCACCAAATAAACAATCTCTTTGTAATACAAATTTTAATACAACTCTTTTATTTTTCATCAACGGATTGGGTCACAAGTTCAAATTCTCACATTTCAACTGGATTAAAGATAAATCCAGATTTGGAGACCTGTTAATATAAAATTATAAATATTAATAATGAACCTGTTACCTGAGAGCTTAAACTTTTAAGCGGATAATAACTCGTCAAATTTCTTAAAAAGAATCTTAGTTTTCTCCTAACCATATCATTTTATTATGCACAAAATGGTCTTTTCATTTGACAAAAAATCAAGGTTAAAGTCTTCGTGATTTGACAAATAACCAAATACAGAAGCAAGAATATAAAAATGGAAAAATAAATAACACAAGATTTATGTGAGTCATTGAATTAGATTACATCACGATAATAATACCATAAATATTTCAATATAATGCTCTTTACATGTATGCTTTTTAATAAGTTTAGTCTTTACTAGAGTGTTCCTAATGACCTTGAAATTAGTTCTATAACTCACTCTTATAGTGTCCTAGTGTTTAAATTAAATATCTGTTA